ATGGATTTTTATGAAATTTTACAATAATGTAGCTTATACATCAGAATAACACATAGGGAGGTTTCGAGTATTTTATGCGTCCTAGTGCCTGCGGTGAAATAATACCAGAAAACTTTAGATCCTCGTAGCTGCGGCCAGTGACCAGAAACCGCAGAGTAGCTGTTATGCGTTCGTAAGGACTGATGCATTCACGTAAATGGGTATTAGGTCTCTTAATTAACGGTGTTACCAGTTTCCGATACGTATCCTCGTCAATCTTCAAGTAATTGTGCTATTCGCCAGGCTCCAATTTTAGCTCCTCCAGTAAATTTGTATCTGGCAGTGTACTGCGTTTAAGTAGCCAGTCTTTAGTCAATTTTCTTCGAGATTTTCTATTTTCGCGATTTTTTCCACTGCCAAAACCGCTGCCAATGCTAACAAGCACGTACGGTACATCGTGATAAACGGGCGCGAAAAAAACTATTGTATGTGGACATATCAGTCAACGTTCTTCCTTCCAACGTTTTTAACCGTCGGTTAAAAACGGCGAAGAAGAACGAGGTGAGTGGGGCCCTTTAGACCAATTAACCCTCAAATATTTTGTCTTAAGAATAGTTTCAGAGTGGTACATTTAGTAAGAAACGAACAAGTAAAAAACACGTTCCTATACCTTATAACGTAAATTTTCGACATTTTTAAAATTTGAAATCTGTCTTAAGAACAGAAATACCCCGAATAGTTTGTCTTACGCTACTGTTCTAAATCAGAGATTCAGTTCCACACAAAATAACATTCGTTTTATTCTTATACCTTATAACGTAAATAATGGCCCTTTGTCCAAAAACGCTTGTTTTTAAGCGTCTAAGACCCCAATTATTTTGTCTTACGAATAGTTTCCGAGTAGAGTGCATTTAGTAAATAACAATCTGGCAAAAAAAATCGTTTTTATACCTTATGACGTAAATTTGTCTTTTTTTTTTGAGATTTCAAATCTGTCTTATAGACAGAAAGCCCCAAAATATTTTATCTTACGACACTGTTTTAGAACAAAATCTGATGATTTTTATTGTTATACTTTGTGACGTAAATTTTGTTAGTTATAAAAATTTGACAGTTTCTAGTGACCAAATGACCCCGTTTTGGGATATAAGCCAAAACAAAATCAAACTGTGTTTTCAATCCACACTAAATCTGCCAGTTAAAATTTTTATACCTTATGACGTAAGTTTTGAGGCAGTAGCTCCCAGTCCATTGACTGTTTCACAACCAGTCCCTTTGGGTAGTAATAATTCATTTATTCTAATACAATATTTGTACCCTAAGACCTTTTAAGACGTGGCGCCGGGAAACACTAACAAAGCCTACACAGAACACACATGATTAAGAATTTAAACACAAACTGAGACTGGGATAAATCGAAAAAAAAAAAGACGTCTGTCTTTCACGTGAGAGTCTCGAGTTCGAATCTGGTCGGGGGACTAAGTAAATTAAATTATTTTTATATTTTTTATTTCACGTTTATTTTATTTTATAAATTAGTAAAATCAATTATTATAAAATTAGTTATTTTGTAACCGAAAATATTAATCTGTAGCTTTTCGTTAGTGGGTCGCAGAAAAAATATGCTGTACAACTCGAGTGGATTGTCCATATGGCACTTTGACGATTGAGCACTCCGCCTATGGCGTCATGCCATATGGACCATATCCACTCTTGTTGCACAAACTACTATTTCTGAGTAAGAAGGTTATCTATATCTCAAATGTGGTATATCCGTAAAGGAAGGGTAAATTCTCAGTCCTAACCACATAATATTTTTTATTTAACATTGGTGGCGAAAGGGGTGGCGAAAGGAAATCCTTAAATAATTTAAAATAACCTGATTAACTTGATTAGTAAATCCGTTTCACAAAAAAATATATTGGTTTTATTCTTAAACCTTGTGATATAAACATTGACCCTTTTTTTCCAAAAAACCTTGTCATAAGGGCCCCACTCACCCCGTTCTTCTCTGCCGTTTTTAACCGACAATTAAAAACGTCAGGGTAAAAACGTCAAAAAACGAGGTGTATGTGCAAAAACGTCGTTTTTGCACGTCGTTCCAAAATTTCAGGCGAGGCTTGATTTTTGTCGGTTATCGTGCCAACCGTACGAGTAAACCCGAGGTGTGTGTTCTCAACAGTTTGACTGGTCGGGCAGTTATCAGTAGCAGTGCCGTTCAGCATGTTTGTGTTGTTTATTGTTATTTAAAACTGGTTATAATAAAATTGTCGGATATTAGGCAGTGGAACAGAGACTTTTTATTAGAGTTTATCGAGCTTTATAGATCATTTACTTGCGCGTGGAAAGTTAAATCGGCGGAATACCATGACCGAATCAAGCAAAACAAGGAGTATGAAGCATTACTGGTGAAATACAAAGAAGTGGATGCTGATGGAATAGTTAAATCACTAAAATAAAAAATTGATTTCCTACGGGGTGCATTTCGAAAGGAAATGAAAAAGGTAAAAGAATCTTTGAAATTTGGTACTGGGTTGGAGGATACGTAAAACCGCACCTCTGGTAGACGATGCAGATGAAAAGCATTACTTTCATCTGCCGATGTAGAACATTCTGAGGTATGTATGTATGTTGTTACTCTTTCACGCAAAAACTACTAAATGGATTTTTATGAAATTTTACAATAATGTAGCTTATACATCAGAATAACACATAGGGAGGTTTCGAGTATTTTATGCGTCCTAGTGCCTGCGGTGAAATAATACCAGAAAACTTTAGATCCTCGTAGCTGCGGCCAGTGACCAGAAACCGCAGAGTAGCTGTTATGCGTTCGTAAGGACTGATGCATTCACGTAAATGGGTATTAGGTCTCTTAATTAACGGTGTTACCAGTTTCCGATACGTATCCTCGTCAATCTTCAAGTAATTGTGCTATTCGCCAGGCTCCAATTTTAGCTCCTCCAGTAAATTTGTATCTGGCAGTGTACTGCGTTTAAGTAGCCAGTCTTTAGTCAATTTTCTTCGAGATTTTCTATTTTCGCGATTTTTTCCACTGCCAAAACCGCTGCCAATGCTAACAAGCACGTACGGTACATCGTGATAAACGGGCGCGAAAAAAACTATTGTATGTGGACATATCAGTCAACGTTCTTCCTTCCAACGTTTTTAACCGTCGGTTAAAAACGGCGAAGAAGAACGAGGTGAGTGGGGCCCTTTAGACCAATTAACCCTCAAATATTTTGTCTTAAGAATAGTTTCAGAGTGGTACATTTAGTAAGAAACGAACAAGTAAAAAACACGTTCCTATACCTTATAACGTAAATTTTCGACATTTTTAAAATTTGAAATCTGTCTTAAGAACAGAAATACCCCGAATAGTTTGTCTTACGCTACTGTTCTAAATCAGAGATTCAGTTCCACACAAAATAACATTCGTTTTATTCTTATACCTTATAACGTAAATAATGGCCCTTTGTCCAAAAACGCTTGTTTTTAAGCGTCTAAGACCCCAATTATTTTGTCTTACGAATAGTTTCCGAGTAGAGTGCATTTAGTAAATAACAATCTGGCAAAAAAAATCGTTTTTATACCTTATGACGTAAATTTGTCTTTTTTTTTTGAGATTTCAAATCTGTCTTATAGACAGAAAGCCCCAAAATATTTTATCTTACGACACTGTTTTAGAACAAAATCTGATGATTTTTATTGTTATACTTTGTGACGTAAATTTTGTTAGTTATAAAAATTTGACAGTTTCTAGTGACCAAATGACCCCGTTTTGGGATATAAGCCAAAACAAAATCAAACTGTGTTTTCAATCCACACTAAATCTGCCAGTTAAAATTTTTATACCTTATGACGTAAGTTTTGAGGCAGTAGCTCCCAGTCCATTGACTGTTTCACAACCAGTCCCTTTGGGTAGTAATAATTCATTTATTCTAATACAATATTTGTACCCTAAGACCTTTTAAGACGTGGCGCCGGGAAACACTAACAAAGCCTACACAGAACACACATGATTAAGAATTTAAACACAAACTGAGACTGGGATAAATCGAAAAAAAAAAGACGTCTGTCTTTCACGTGAGAGTCTCGAGTTCGAATCTGGTCGGGGGACTAAGTAAATTAAATTATTTTTATATTTTTTATTTCACGTTTATTTTATTTTATAAATTAGTAAAATCAATTATTATAAAATTAGTTATTTTGTAACCGAAAATATTAATCTGTAGCTTTTCGTTAGTGGGTCGCAGAAAAAATATGCTGTACAACTCGAGTGGATTGTCCATATGGCACTTTGACGATTGAGCACTCCGCCTATGGCGTCATGCCATATGGACCATATCCACTCTTGTTGCACAAACTACTATTTCTGAGTAAGAAGGTTATCTATATCTCAAATGTGGTATATCCGTAAAGGAAGGGTAAATTCTCAGTCCTAACCACATAATATTTTTAATAAAAAGGACGGACGTAAGGCGACTAGTTTCGGTCAATGATCATCATCAGGCCTGTAAAAGAGAATATATGGGATATTAACGTTGTAACAAAGATGTAAATTAAAAATGTACAATAAAATTTAGGTGAGAGTAAAAACTAAACTTAATCTTCAAAATGTTGATTTAATATCTTACTCATGTCACTAATTTAAATAACTTGTTCGCCACTTTTTATTAACATTGCCATTTGCTATTATTACAACACAACCTATTATTAATTGTTAATTCTTAGTTTTTACTTATTACTTAAAATGTATTGTACATTTTTAATTTACATCCATGTCACAACGTAACTATGCCGTATATTCTTTCACAGTGCTGATGATGGTCATTGACCGAAACTAGTCACCTAACGCTCCCTTTTTAATAAAAAAATTGTGATTAAACTTTAAGAATTTTCCCTTTGTCCTCTTAAATTTATTTCCATTTGCATCACCTCCTGTTCGTTAATGTTTTTTGTTTACCGTTAAACTTATTTAGCAATGATTGTTAGAATTAAAATTTGAGAAATATTTTTCTTACCGTTTTTTCTGCGATGGTTGTATCCCAGTTGCTAATAAATTTTTATAATATTCAGACCTAATAAACCTAGGGTAACAATCTTTTTTCAGCAACAATGTATATACATGTTCTTGTGCAGCATCAAATGTGAATCTACTGGGCGCCTTCATTTCTTGGTGCACTTTTTCCATTGTTTTACCATCTATGTTGATTTCGCATGGTGCACCTGGTGCCAAAAATTCTCTGAAAACAAAAATTATTTTAATTCAGACGAATTATATTTTTAAATAGTGTTGCTGCCGAAATATGTAATTTTTATATGGAGCAGAACCAGACTATACAACAGGGTGGGCCACCGGTAACGTCTCGAAATAAAATTTACAAATAATTTCAATGATACAGAGTTTTCAGGAAAGTGATACATATCAAAGTTAGGTTTTTTAATTTTATATTTAATTTGCCCTCGCTTTACCAATATAATACAGGGATATGGGGATTACGCGGGTATTTCACACGCTACAACTAGTTTTATATAAAAATAGTATATCGCAAAAGAAACATTAAATAGTTTTTTGGTAATAGTTTTTTGATGTTAGTCAACGAAGTACTATTTTTTTCAATTCAAAACAAATTTATACATGATAAGTCAAAACACAAATACATTTTTTAATTTTCTTTTTTAAATTGACCTCCCAGTATTTTATATTACCATTGAAAAGTAACCGAATTATACTTTTATTTGATTTAAGCATTAAAGCATCTAAACTTAATAATTTCGAAAGATTTTTAAATATAAATGACGAAAAGGATATCTGCATCTCTCTATATCTGTAACGTGTGAAGGGTGGGTTACTCCCACGGCACTTAGGCCTCATTAGGTCCATTGTGCATCCTCCTAAATTATAGGCACCTCCTAGCTTGTGAGCCAGCCTACAGATTTAATGTAGGTGAGAACGTCGCCAAAAGGTGCATCACTTATATCGGCCGATATTTGCCAAACACAAATCTTCTAATAAATAAGAGCAACAAGCAATCGTAAAAGATATGCTCGATGGTCTCATCTTCTTGTTCGAACCCTCTGCAAAGTGCGGATTCTGACAGCCCCATATGGAGATGCTTCCGTATTTGGCAATGACCAGTCTGAATGCCTGTGTCTAAGTGCAGATTCTGTCTAGTCATAGTCAAGTATTTGTTTGCTTCAGTGTTGTCAGGATAACTTAGGAGTTCCCTGGCTACTCTGCAGTTTCTTGTTTCATCCCATATTTTCTTGAATTTCACAAGGGAACGTTCTTTAATTAGGTCTGTCACTACAGATTTTGTCAGGCCAGTAGAAGGGCCAGGTCCAAAAAGTATCTGGTTGGCAGCTTTCTTGGCTGGTAAATCAGCAAGACGGTTACCTTTTGATGTGGCGTGACCTTTTATCCATCTTAAGGTGACCACTTGTTGGTGGACACTTCGGCCAAAGCTTCATGACATTTTAGTACTAACACTAAGTAAATTCGTGGTCTGTTCAGGGTGAGTAGTGCTTGTCTGCTATCTGTATAAATGAGAATGTTACTTGCAGTGACATTGCTAGTATACCTATTGCAGATGGTTTAAACACCATCTTTACTAAAATTGATCCAGAATTAGCATAGAAAATATATTAAACTAATACTATTTTACCAAGAAAGTTATTTAACAGAACTACATTTGATTTGCGGAATATTTTTACTGCATATTTCATCCCCCACATTTGACCCCAATACGTTTCGTCCCCAATATTTCGCCCCTACACATTTCGCCTCTAACCTGAAATGGTATTATAGATACATATTAGAAAAATGAATTAAAATATTTAATTTGAAGACTATTCCTCTTAAATAATCTAAACGATCTTTTTATTTTGTTCAAAGTTTCATATTTAACTTTTTCTATATCTATGGCCGTGGAGAAAGTACAGTCTGTTACTTCGTTGGAATAAAAATTCCTACTTTTTTGTAGAATATACTACTTCGACCCCTTAAAAGGTAAAATAAATTCGATACGATGAATTATTTCTACATTTTATATAGTTATTAGTGTCTACTGTTATTTTTAATATTCGTGTAAGTATTAATGAACAATTATCTAAACCAAATAAAATTAAGTCAAATGTTGCAATCCAAAATGTACCTGTGCATTCTTCGAAAAAGAATGACATTTTAACGTCCAAAGTACACTCTATAGATATTCCAATTTTTGATGGTAAAAATCTGACCAAATTTAAATCATTTGTTGACATTTTTACTGCAGTAATAGATAAAAATCAACAGCTGACAAATATAGAAAAGCTGTTCTATTTAAGAAATTATTTAAAAGGTGAAGCGTAGAAAATTTTTCCTATAAAGAAGCTTTAGGACTTTTAAACAATAGATATAATAACCCAGCCGTTTTAATAAATTCACATATTTCTTTAATTCTAGACATTCCTAAATTACAAAAAGGAACTGCTTCGTCTTTACGAGACATTGTAAGTAAAATTAAGCAACAAATTCGTGCTCTATAAAATTTAAACCAACCTATTGAAAGCTGGGACATGATTTTAGTTTGTATTTTGTTTCGAAAAATTGATCAATATACTAATAGAGCCTACCAAATTGAAAGGGATGGTTTAAAATTACCTACATTAAATAACTTTTTGTCAAATTTAGAAAAACGTGCTTCTGCATTAGAGGCCAGTTGCAGTAACGCAACTGAAATAACAAAAACTAGAGAAAAAACATTCTCACATTTATTAACCAAACCCAAGTCAGAATTTAAGTGCCCTTTTTGTTCAATTGCAGGTCACAAATTATACAATTGTAAAAAATTCAAGTCCATTCTAGTTAATAAAAGAATTTCCTTTATAGATAAAAACTTTGCAGATTGTGCCTAAACAATCATCCTAGCAGATGTAAAATGACCTTTAGATGTGCTACGTTCCAAAGGGATCATAATACATTGCTGCATTTGGACATACAAGCAGGGATGAATGAAAAGACTTCTTCAACAATTGAAAATAAGGTAGTAGTTCTGTTCAAAGTCAACAAGAAACTGTGCTTTTACCTACTGTTAAAGTAAAAATTAAATCTGCAGATGGCAGATATATTTTTGTAAGAGGTTTAATCGATACTGGGTCTCAGGTATCCCTTGTAACCAGTAGTTTGGTAGAAAGTTTGAATTTAAAGTCATATAATAACTCTTTAAATATTTTTGGAATATCACAAAGTACCACAAAGATTCAAAAATTTATTAATTTAAAAATTGAGTCACATATATATGAATATTGTATTAATGTCAAATATGCTATTGTTAACACAATTACTAGTGATTTACCACAGTTAAGCTCTGATGTATCCAATTTTAACTTCCCAAAAAATATTAAATTGTCAGATGATATGTTTCATCATACTGAAAAAAAAATACCTTTTGTTAGGAGCAGATGTTGTCTTTCAAACATTTTTATCTGAAAAAATCGAATGCAAAAAACTTTATTTACAGAATTCTCTATTTGGGTTTATTGTAAGTGGTGTTGTCCCTATCAAACCATATTGTAACTTAGTTACACTTCATGCTAAGTGATCTTAATAAAACGCTATTTCTTTAATTTTGAGAAACTGAAAGGTTCCTGAATTTTTTTCAGTACATTCTACTAAGCAGGAAGCTTGTGAACATAATTTTGAAAATTCTGTTCGATTAATAAATAATAAATTTCAAGTATGTTTACAATTAAAACAACATATTAATAATGATTTAAACTTAGGAGATTCTTTCTCTGTTGCGTTAAAGCGCTTTGAAAATGTAGAAAAACGTTTAATGGCAAACCCAGATTTGTTTTTGAAATATAAAACTTTTATTAAAGATTATTTAAAACTTGAACAAGCAAAAATTATAAACTTTGATTCTTATGACTTAAATTGCGGTTCAATTTAATTTATGGCTCATCACTCCGTTATACGGGAGGATAAAAATACCACTAAGCTTCGAGTCGTTTTTGACGGCAGTATGAAGTCCAAAAACAAAAAATGTATTAACGATTTTTTGTATAATGGGGCCGTTGTACAAAACGAACTTTTGATATTCTGGTATTGTTCAGAACATATAAATATGTTATTTTAACAGATATACGACATATGTGATTTCAATTAGTCCTGAACATCGCCAACTTTAAAATAATTTGTGGAGGGAGTCCCAAGGTTCGTTACAGTGTCTATCGGGGTTATGATGGACAAATAATGTTATTTTTAACAGACACGTTATTTGTGAACAGGTTGTTATTTCTGTGTGTTTATAAAATAACAGACCTGTTAAAAATAACACAGTTTGTCAATTATAACCCCCTATAGCTGCAAACTGTCACCTATGGCTTAAAAAGCTCGTCTTTTCTAGCTACAAGATATTTAGTAGAGCAGAAGAACAGAAGTTAAAAAATTTCCCAGAGCAGCACGTTTTATTAAATAATACATATATGTTGATGATATTCTAGCAGGTTCTGATACTATAGAAGAAACTGTACAATTAAAACAAGAATTAATTTCTCTTCTTCAACTAAGATCATTTTCATTGCACAAGTGGTGCACAAATAAGCCAGAAATTTTGAAATATATCCCCAAAGAAAAAAAGAATCTTGATGAAGTTGACATAAGCAAAAGCAATTTTATTGTAAAAACTTTACGTCTCTCTTATGACACAAACGAAGATATTTTTAAAATGTCAACCCTAAAAATTGAAATTAATGAGTATGTAATAAAAAGACAAGTTCTTAGTTTCATAAAAAAATTTTATGACCCCTTAGGCCTTTCAGGTCCAGTGTTGGTAGCAGCCAAATTAAAATGGGATGAAATGTTACCAAAAAATTTAATCAATATGCCAGTTTTAAAGATACCCCGCAACTTAGTTTTTGCCAATGCAGATTGCATCATGGGCGTAGCCAGACTTTCATTCAGGGGGGGGGGGCAGCTGAGTGCCAGCCTTGACGACAGCCTTTACCAAGGGACGTGGATTTGAGGTGACCGAGTTTAAAAAAAAAATACTAAAAATAATTAATGATTAAGATTTAAAATAAACTCGGAAATAGAAACTAAACCGAAACCGGTTTTAAGAAAGTGACAAGAAATAAAAGTAGAAATTTTATTTTATTAATTATACATACAATACAAAAAATCGAATAGAACATCTACAATAAATTTAATCTTGTTTTCTTTTCAGCGGATTTTTTTAAAACCGTTTTCTCAAAATTTTTG